ACAGCTAAAAATAAAGCCTCAGCTGTCGGGGTGAAAATGTGATGAGGGTTTTGAGGGAATGATATCAATGTGGCTATAAAGCCTTCTCCACACAGCATTACACAGAGGGGGGGACATAACAGTAAACACAGTGAGGACGGACCCCCATTATTGCCACCACTCTGCAAATAAAGGTCATTAACGGTTTGTCAGAAGCAGAAGATTTTAATGTCAATCATATGCATATTGTTTACATTTATTTTGTTCCTCCTTATTAATTAAATTCAGTGATAGGTATATGTGATTTGTTTTAGACTTCTTAGATGATTTGGTCTCCTTTGGTTTTGTATGTTATCATGCAGCATCATTAAGTCAAAGTCATGCCACATTCATAAATAAATCTAAATAGAATTAAGGCTAAAAAGTAGGGACGTAACCATACCAAAAACTCACGGTACGATAATATCGCGATAAAAAGTCCACGATATGATATTTTTCGCGATATTGAAAAATAAAGTTTTAAACATTTTTTTCTTTATTAAATAATAAATCTGACTTGTTCAGCATTTTAGTAGATAGTAGTATTTTAAAGTGTCAACAATATAATAATCAGACCCTGCAATGGAATAAATCAAGTTTCACTTTAGTTTTTCAAGTAACTCAACTCTAACACTCACTCACTCACTCACTCACTCACTCACTCACTCACTCACTCACTCACTCACTCACTCACTCACTCAGCGTCATCAAGGTTATCTTTCAGGAATATGAGCATGTCCACATTTCCAGGTAGAAGCTGGGATATTTGGGCGTTTGCAAAATCCCCTGCTGTGAAAACAACTCTCTCGCTTGGTACTGATGTTGCTGGGACAGAGAGACATGCTTTGGCCATGGGTGACAGCAGTGGGTCAAACTGTGCATTGTCTCTCCACCACTTCAAAAACAATACAGTTGTTGCCAAGAAGGTGAGGCTTATTGACAGAGATATAAATATACTGTTGGTACTTGTCAATGTCTCTAGGTGTGTACATGTAGCTCTGTAAATACCATGTCCTTTTGTGTTCTGTTGTTTTATGTTCATGTTGTAACCTACTTGCTGCCATGTTGGACAGGTCTCCCTTGAAAAAGAGATCGATGATCTCAATGGGACCATCTGGTTAAATAAAGGTTTAAACATTTTACAAAAAAAATCGCGGTAGATTTTGTCAGTCTCACGACGGTATTGAGACATTTATTTACCGCGATATATCGTTACATCCTTACTAAAAAGTCATGCATTTTAAGATAAGATGTTTGTAATCATTATTAAATGACCCTCAGGTTTAAGTGTGTTTGTTTCTCTTGGTGTTAACACTAATTGTATACTAAGGCTGTGTTCAGAAAAACAAAAGCTCTGTGTCGAACAAATAAATAAAAACCACTCATAAGACAGCAGGGGGCCAATGTAGCATTCCAGTAAGCAAAGGGAGATCTGGCAAAAAAGCAATATATATATATATATATATATATATATATATATATATTTACTACACGGCAATATTAATTAAAACCACAAATGGATTGTTTGGTGAATATACTTTACCAAGGACACCAATTGCTTCTTATAAAACATATTGCTATTTTCAGTCCACTTCTAATGGGATCTCAGTAGGAATTCTTCATGGTTGTCTATAGTATGTATCAAGGTATAATAGCATGAACGAGTGTTGGAGAAAATACAAGTCGTCTCCTCTTATGGGTTTTAATGCACTGATACTGTGTGACTTTGCACTGTGTATGACCTATTCAATTATAAGTGTGAATAAAATCATGTTCTACCTCGAATGTGGGCTGCTGCTATAATCTACCTCAAAAATGTGCCTATACAATCTACCTAACTCAACCGTTTGGGTACTTTTGTATATGAATTTTAATCTTTATAATCATTTGTATGTTTCAATTCTATATTAGGAGGGATATGTTGGAGAAAATGCAAGTCGTCTCCTCTTATGGGTTTTAATGCACTGATACTGTGTGACTTTGCACTGTGTGTGACCTTGCAGCTGCCTCTTCTGAGATAGGAGAAGGCAGGGCATAATTCATGTTGTGGATCCAGATGAGAGGACACATACTCCTCGTCTCCTCACTACTTCGAGGGGCAAAGAGCAACAGTGGCTCGAAGGAAGTACGTGACTTTCCAGAGATGTCCCGACACCTTCCCGACGCCAAACCGATTCACGACTTTGTTGTTACCTCCTCACTTGGACTATATAAGCTTGATGTTACTTCCTGCTCCTTTGAGCAGCATACCTCATGTGTGTGAGTTGAACCATATCCTTTGTATGTGACTTAACTCTGCTCCTTCTTGCAAGAATAAATTAGTACCTGACTATTGATTCTCAACCCGGTGTCGAGGGATATTTTCCTAACAACGAGTTATTTAGAAATCCAGACGCTCCTTTTTGTGATAAACTGATACAGAGATGCTCTATCAGGGTTTCCGTTCGTTTGGAATCATCCTTCACTTATAAGCATCTGGGATATTTTAAAATGTAGTTTTGAGTTGTTTTTTTAAACCATAATATGTCACAAAAGAAGCAGTTAGTTTGACTTATGGCGTATTTCCACTGCACGGCCTCGCTCGGTATGGTTAGGCCTCGTTAGGCCCGGCTCACTTTATGCTGCGCTTCCATTACAGTTTAGGAGCTGGGGTAGTTACTATAGTAACGCAGTGTAGGCGGAGCCGTGACGTCATCTTCAATGAGAGCCCCAGAAAAACAACACAGCCGTTAGCTCTTAGCACTCAGAGCTCACAGCTCCTCATATCTGTTCAGAAACTAGACAAAAGTTAAACAAGTACAAACCACAGACTGTCTGTGTCATGGAGAATACAGTCGCTGCTTTATTTATGTCTGTAGGCCGTTGTTGTGAGTGTGGACGGTCGGAGCATATATATCGTTAGCTTAGCCAATCTCCATTTAGAAAACACGCATTCTAAAAGTGTTCTTCGCCTGCCGTCTGTCTGCAGACTTGTCAAAGCATTAATTCATGGTTTTTACTAACCGGTATCAGTATGTTGTTACTTCGGCATCATTTTGAAACGTGTATTACAATTAAATCACGGTCAAATATGTTCATCTTGTTGTAGTTGTAGCCCCCTGCCAGCGATTCTCTCTCTAGTTTAGCATACTCAGCCCGACTCAGCCTGGTTGTTCCTGGCCCTAGAACCACGATTTTATGGGGCCAGAAAAACTGTGAATTAGGACCCGCTAGCCGGTACTAGGCCAAGTGGAAACGCAACCAAAGACGCACGGCTCGGCACGCTTAAAGCGAGCTACCCGCTGCAGTGGAAACGCGCCATAAGTTAGCAATATATGGCTGTTAACAAAGCACAGTTTAGTATATTTGTAAGTCAATAAATGCTTAAAGTCCTGAAGACTCAGGCCATGTTCTGCTTGCCATCTAATGATTAAAGTGAAGGGGGTTAGCCTTAGCGATAGCATCAGGATCCTTTAATGTGGGCTTTGTTTTTTAAAGATGGACATGGTTTTCTCATTTGAGTGACAAGCAGCTCCGCTTTAACACAAATACTTCATATACCCAGATGACATGTCAGGGATGTATGAAGTTATAAATAAATAGATCCGCCCGAGCCTACTGGCGATAAGAAGCAAAATCCTTGACACGGTACCTCTACTCTCTTTTATATTCCATCTTTTTATTGTGTTGGTGTGTTGACAGAGATTTAGCTAAACTAATAAAATAAAATGCATTTCATCGGACAGGAAGATCCGTTCACACACAATACACTGCAGACATACGGCGTATACTATAAATTGATTATAATACTAACCACTGTATCTTAACTTCCCACTACCTCAGTAAGATATGAGAAAAGCAGCATCTCCCTCGACAGATAGAGGATGAATAAGAGTGCTCTCAGTTTGTGTTTCTCCTATGTGATGACTTATGTAAGGACAACTGATAACAAAATACAATTAAAGCAGCAGATGGTCTACACAAAGAAGGGATGACATTGGGAACATATTCTGCTCATTTTCAGGTCCATATTTTGTGCTTTTTTTGACATGTCTCCATGCTTTAATGTTCAAAAGCTCTTCATTGTTCTCATACTGCCTGTGCTGCAGCACCTCTTTTCACCCTCTGTCTGAAACCAGAGCCCAGTCTGCACTGATTGGTTAACTGGCCGGCTCTGTTGTGATTGGTAGGGTCTATGCAGGAATCCTGAAGTCAATGTAATTCCTTTCAAGACCCTCTCCATACTTTTTAAGACCTCATCTCCACTTGGAGTTCTAACCGGTTACCTTGGCGACACACTTCACCTCACATTGACTATATACAGTATTGATTGTCCTTCCTCATTATCTTCCAACCATTTGGACGCAGACTTGCATTTCCCCATAACGATGTTTAACAACCGGCGTAAACGGACCTTCGCGCTATCAAGCAGTGAGCGTGCGATGTCCTGTTCAGATGACGTCAAACCCAACGGGATGCCATCAATAAACTACACAGAATCACACTACACACCTACGCCATGATTACATTCAGGCAGACTGTAGAATACAACCTCTTTGGACCATTTATATACTTATTGAAAACAAGCTACAAAATGTAACACCTTGTAAATGCCGTTTAATATTTTTTAATAGCCTTCATTTTCGCTAAATTGATTTATCAACTTTTAATACTTTTTAAGACCCCTGGATTGGTCAACCAGCGACGAGATGTCCCGCCCCTTAGCCCATCAAAAACAATGTCTTGGAGCGCTAGCAATAAAAGTGTGAGTGCTACTTAGTGATGTCACTTTGTAACAGTAAACAAAGGAGTCTAAGGAACTTTGGGACATGCACTAAAACCTATATAACACACTACAGGACAGGAAAAACCGAAAAAACCTAATAGGGCCTCAAACCAACACTAGAAAAATCTTACACTTCAATCGTTTGACTTTTAAGTGACAAAGATATGTAAGATTGTGTACAGTATCTTAATACATTAAAACATTTCAGCTCACTTACATCTCTGGCTTTGCCATAGAAGGCCTCTTGAGACGCAGCTTCCAAAGTCCCGATGAAGAACATTGGGTGGGTCTCTCCATACCTTAGGGACACAAAGGTCAGTTCATAAAGACATTGTTACATGCCGGCTTTCTTTTGTCTATCAAAGTCTTTCAAATGAGAACCTGACGTTTAGCTCTTACCTTGAAGAAAATTCTGCAGTAAAGTGCAGTAAGGCATCAGCTTCGTTCTCACTATTTTCTGGCACTGTAAAAAAAAAGAAGGTTTTATGCATGTCCCTGGTGTTCAATACAAAACCTGGAGCGGAAATTAACAACTCAAATAATGCTCCACTTGACTTACTCATAGGTGCTTTCCGACAGGTAGAGGATCCCAATCCAAACATCTCCGAATCGTCCACCCCGAACTCTGACGCGTCTTCAAAATCATCCGCGTCACTGTCGCTGACCATATGGACATCTGCACACTGTGGACATGAAGCAGCATCAGGTTTATTGGAGGTTTACACGTACCAGCTATTGATATTGGTGTGTAATGGTGCGTACACAAACACAGTAAGAGAAATCAAGTTGTAAAAATAAGCAAATATAGAACCTTTGAAAAAATACTTACAAGTTACTCAAGATAATCGGTGACTAAATATAGAGATTGTTTTGTATGTCTGAGGTCTTTCTTGCAAGTAAACACCCCAAATCATGAGCTGTGTCATGTACAACAAGAACAAGATAAATACTATGGAAAATAAAATATCTGCAGTTTTATAAGAGGTAGCATTAAACAAATGATTTAACGATACTGAGACTTAAATAGACAGAAGTTATTAAAACAATTATTTTGTTACCCTGTTATATAAGTAAGTATGGTGTGTGTGTGTGTGTGTGTGTGTGTGTGTGTGTGTGTGTGTGTGTGTGTGTGTGTGTGTGTGTGTGTGTGTGTGTGTGTGTGTGTACCTCTTCTGTGGGTTCCTGGGAATTGGCTGCTGAGGACCTTCGACACACACTGAGGTGATGGCAGGGAAAGGTGATCCCAGAGACAGCTAGCGTCATCTAAAAACACAAAGGGAGAGTCATTAGCCTAACAATGAAGGACAAAGTGTGAGATCTTAAACCATATTTGATTACTTGCTCCAATATATGTCAACTCAAAGTTACTATTGAGTTATTATTTCTTCTTACCAAAGAAATGATACAGACACTTTATGACAGAGTCCTTCACAAGTCCAGTGTTGTCAAAACAACAACTGGGAATCTTAGTTTCTCAAACAAACCACTATACCTCAGTATCAGTCAAATTCTGACAAGACCTGTTAAAGTAAGTCACATTAAACATTTGGACCACACAGTTACAGACTTAGTTTTTTTTGGTTTAAGCTGGGTTCTCCGTAAATTAAAATCATGATTCTGGTTGTGCTCAATTGAAAACAATCACAGACAGGCTTTCAGAATTTAAAAGAAAAACCTGGTAGGAGATGACTTTGATAATATTATCAGATGTTAAAAATACTGCACAATCATTTCATTTCTTATATCTCTCGCTGCCGGCCAACATTTAGTTAATTTTGACCCATGGATATTTTTAAATGTATATATTTTTTGCCGTTACAGGACTTTTTTGTAAGTACCTGACAGTGCAGGATTGATTAATGACTTCCAAACACAGCCTTCTCACTTCTCTAATAAGAGGAAAAGCATGATGAGGTTCATGAACACCTGCAGTGGCTGTGATGGTGGTTTTGTAGTAAGAGAACACCTGACTAATGAGCTCCCAAATCCAAAGGCAGGACTGTAAATGTCAGCGTTCAGCGGGGACTCATTACAGCTGCTGTCTCCTGGCTGAGACCCGAGGGACGACAATAATACAGGCGAGGCAGTTTGCAGTAAAACTGAAGATACCCGCCTTTAAAAGAGCAGGATTTAAGGTTGATTCCCATCATCTAACTACTAAAATGTAACTTATATATTCAACATGAAGACACATTTGTTCCTTCTTGTCACAGTGACCACAAGGGCTGCACATGTAACGCAAGTGTTATCAAAACCGTTATATGGACGAGTGCAATATCCAAAGTAAGTGAAATATTTGGTAAAGTCACAATATGTGAAAATATCATTCTACACACTTCTACTTGGTACACATCCTCCTAACTACAAGATGATTTTAATAACTTTTTAATAATCATGTGAAGAATGTTTCAAAAACAATCATTGCCTCTTGGACTATCAGTCAAAAATAATCACACTCAAGTTTTCTTTTTCCTACATTTTGACCACCAAACGCAGGACTGGTAACAATCCAACCGTGACTTCTAGCCTGAACATACTGGTACTTGTCACAATAACGCAACAATACATCCACTGACGCACTAATTGTTGAGAGCAGAGCGTAAAAGAAGCCCAGATGCAAATAGTTTTCTGGGAGAGTGAACTTCTAAACAGCAGGGCAGCGGCAGAGAAGCTGTGTCTCCCTGCAGAGGTCTCGTGATCTGCTCCATTGTCGCCCGCTAAGACACACAAAGAGCAGCTGGACGTGGTTGAATCGGGAGACGATTACATGCAACGCCAATTGAGTCTGAAAAGAGCTACACGGACCTCACGGAGTTACTCTCTCTGAAGGAAGAGTGGCTCCTCACGCTGGCCCCCGCTTCTATAGCAGCTCACAACAGTGTAACCACTAGAGCCTGTCAGCAACATGGACTTACTTGTGCGCACTGCTGTTTACCTGGACCCTGATAAAGACCATGTTTCTTTTGAAAAGGGGCATTCACAGTCGGCTATCCATCTTTCCACACTTCCTTATCTTTTCAATGTTTAGAAAAGTAAGTTTGCTGCAGCGTAAAGACGGAAAATATTTGAACAAAAAACATTTGGACAGTAGTGGTTGAGCGACACGCGTGACTGAAGGCAACTGGTGTTGGGAAATAAGACGATAAATGTGTTGGAGATTTTAACCCTAATGTTTGTTTTAGAAGTATCTATCCCGTTAGTAACTTCGATTGAGGATGACTGCTTCATGGTAATTGAAATATGATGTGATATTTGGTACTTCATGTTGTTTTTCTTCACTAGGGTAACTTAGACATTCAAGCATGCTTTTGCATCAATAGGTAATTGATTTAGCAGGAAACATACTGTATAATTAGATAGACTATTAATTATAATAATATTGTGAAGAAGAAGACAAACTAGAAGTAGGAGAAGAAGACAAAGTAGAAGAAAAAGTAGAAGTAGGAGAAGAAGAAAAAGTAGAAGACAAACTAGAAGTAGGAGAAGAAGACAAAGTAGAAGAAGACAAACTAGAAGTAGGAGAAGAAGAAAAAGTAGAATACAAACTAGAAGTAGGAGAAGAAGAAAAAGTAGAAGACAAACTAGAAGTAGGAGAAGAAGAAAAAGTAGAAGTAGGAGAAGAAGAAAAAGTAGAAGACAAACTAGAAGTAGGAGAAGAAGAAAAAGTAGAAGACAAACTAGAAGTAGGAGAAGAAGAAAAAGTAGAAGACAAACTAGAAGTAGGAGAAGAAGACAAACTAGAAGTAGGAGAAGAAGAAAAAGTAGAAGTAGGAGAAGAAGAAAAAGTAGAAGACAAACTAGAAGTAGGAGAAGAAGAAAAAGTAGAAGAAAAAGTAGAAGTAGGAGAAGAAGAAAAAGTAGAAGAAAAAGTAGAAGTAGGAGAAGAAGAAAAAGTAGAAGACAAACTAGAAGTAGGAGAAGAAGAAAAAGTAGAAGACAAACTAGAAGTAGGAGAAGAAGAAAAAATAGAAGACAAACTAGAAGTAGGAGAAGAAGAAAAAGTAGAAGTAGGAGAAGAAGAAAAAGTAGAAGAAAAAGTAGAAGTAGGAGAAGAAGAAAAAGTAGAAGAAAAAGTAGAAGTAGGAGAAGAAGAAAAAGTAGAAGAAAAAGTAGAAGTAGGAGAAGAAGAAAAAGTAGAAGAAAAAGTAGAAGTAGGAGAAGAAGAAAAAGTAGAAGTAGGAGAAGAAGAAAAAGTAGAAGACAAACTAGAAGTAGGAGAAGAAGAAAAAGTAGAAGTAGGAGAAGAAGAAAAAGTAGAAGACAAACTAGAAGTAGGAGAAGAAGAAAACGTAGTAGAAGAATAGCTATTGTCATTGTTGTTAAATGTATATGATATACTGTAAAAATATTACTTATTTTAAAAGAATGTTTAATTAACTGAGATAATGAACTCTTCTGATCCCCAGGACAGAAACAACCATTTTACAAATCACTGCACTCTGAGAAAAACACTGTTGACTATATTGATTACAATTTGAACCACTGTGTCTTAAATTCCCAGCAGCTCAGTAACCAAGGAGAAGATATGAGAAACGCAGCATCTCCCCTGACGGTTAGAGAATGAATAATATCCTGATGAGTGTTCCCTCTCGGTGTTGTCTCAAGCCCAGAAAACCGCTCAAAAAAAGCAGAGGCTAGACTGCCATGCAACGATGAAACTACACAAACAAAGAGTGACATCACAGCTAAAGGGCCAAGCTAACACTGAAACACAAGTGTATATACGAAAATATGACGTTTCTTTCTCACCAAATTCACATATTTTCTAAGAGGCCTCAAACAGTCAATCAACCCTGAGACAGTGACACAGGTGTACGCAGAGATAACAGAAGAAACAGATTGTATTTCCTGTGTTCGACCGATTAGTAGCGAGTGTACTCCTGACAAGTGTGTAAGCGTCACAGCGAGGACAGCTGAGGAACACCTACGAAGAACACTTATCTGAATTGCCTCGTGTAACTTAACTCTAACTCAGTTAGTAGTCTGGTCTTGGTCATTAGATTATGGGTTATTCATATTTTTCTACAGAACTTTACAAGGTAATGGAACAAAAACATTATTCTCCCAACAATAGAAGTAAAGTGAGTTAGGAACAGTTTGTGTTGAACGAAAGAAAAAGACAACTGTGACTTAAAGAGACGCCATTTAAGAGGATGGGTCTCGGACCTATGGGTTGAACTGGCAAAGAGAGACTCTAACTAAATTAGTAGTTTGGTTATTCATATTTTGCCAAAGAACTTTGTAATTAACGGGAAAAAGCAAGTAAAACTAATGTGAGTTAGCCATACCTTTGGTTTTACGAAAGAAAAAGACAATTATGACTTAAGGAGATGCCATCTGAGACAAGAGGGTTAAATATGCACTGAGAGACTAACTAGTAACAGAGAAGTTAGTAAGCAATACTTTTAGTTCAACAAAAGAAAAAACAACAATGACTCACCACATAGACGCCATTAAACACATGACCGGTCTCAAGCATGAGATTGTATTAGCACTGACACACTAACGAAGTTAAGTAGTCTGATGTGAATCCACAGAACTTTACAAAGTAATGGGAAAAAACAACATTATTCCAACAGTAAAGTAAAGTTAGTTAGGAAAACCTTTTGCCTTAAAGGTCCCATGTCATGCTGTTCCGGTTATCACCCGTCCCCTTGTTGTTATGAAGGTTGTTCTGCATGTAAACGGTCTGCAGTCACAAACCCTCAAAGTGCACCCTGTAGCGAGTAAAACTCTAACACAGAGAAGACCTGTCTGCTGCCCCAGAACGCCTCGTTGGACATTTCTCTTCCTGGGTACAGTGACGTATTTGGGTATAGTTACGCTACGTCCGCGGAGCCGTTACGTTTGGACACACACACACACACACACACACACACACACACACACACACACACACACACACACACACACACACACACACACACACACACACACACACACACACACACACACACACACACACACACACACACAACACACACACACACACACACACACACACACACACACACACACACACACACACACACACACACACACACACACACACACACACACACACACACACACACACACACCACACACACACACACACACACACACACACACACACACACACACACACACACACACCACACCACACACACACACACACACACACACACACACACACACACACACACACACACACACACACACACACCCACACACACACACAGCGAGGCTTGCTGCTGCGAGGGAGCGGGACACTGTGAGCGGGA